TAAGTGACTGGAGTTCAGACGTGTGCTCTTCCGATCAATAAATATATATCGTTATTACGTCAATATTAAATATTTTTACTCAAAAATATAAATATATCATATGTTATACGTAAGGCTGTAAACATAATAGAGAAAATATTAAAAATAAATATGAGAATTTCAATTCGCCAGAAATCGTGTATTCCACAAGGTTCTGATGGATTGAAATTCTTATATTTAATTCTGTTCTTAATATTTTCAATTGGGCTCTTGGACTGACAATTGTATTATTGAGTATTATATGAATACTGAAATGATGTTAATGCTAACTTATTTTTACCGAGAATAACTTTACCTGAAGCATTTTCCACAATAATCACACAAGAAGTTTTCTCTATTACTACGTTCACCACTATGAATACGTTTGTGAACAGTGAGATGACAGTTATATGAAAATTTCTTCTGGCATATATCGCATTGATACTTGCGAGCCGCCACTGGCAAATGCGACAAAATGTGAGAACGTAAATAGTTTTTGATCCTGTTGACATAACAAATATCGGAGTGTTTATATAATAATTCTGATAAATATCAAATTGTTATCAATTAATATGTATATCGTTATTACGTCAATATTAAAACTTTTTACTCAAGTATATGAATATATCATATGTTATACGTAAGGCCGTAAACATAATAGAGAAAATATTAGGAATAAATATAAGAATTTCAATCTATCAGAAATCGTATATTCTGCGGTACACTGTTTCCAATTAATTGAAATTCTTATATTTATTTCTGTATAAATTACAGTAACTTTATAAATATATGTATAAATATATATACATATATTGTATTATTACGATTTTATTACGATATTATGTTAAAGTTACCATTAATTTATACTGAAGTATTTTTACCTGAACCGTTTTCCGCACTGATCACACACATACTCCTTCTTTTTATGTTTACGTTGTACATGATGCGATTTCGATCGATCAGACCTAAAAAAGATTAATAGAATTAAAGTAAAAGATAAAAATAGAAAATATATTGAAATTGTAAAAGTGCAAAGTATATTTGTGTGATTATAGCAAATGCGTTATAAATTACCGAAAGGATTTGTGACATTTCGAACTGAGCGTTTCTCCAGTGTGAATTCTTTCATGATTTTTCCACAATCTACATGAGTTGAACTTTTTGCCGCAGAATTTGCAGACATATTTTTTTTTCTTATTGAGTTTATTGGACGATTGTAAATTGTGGATCT